TTAAATTTCGTAGTTTTTCCTACCATAGGACACTTGACTAAGGTAATATTTCATGAATGGTGGGTTAACTCTGAACTGTAAGTCACTTTATTTACCTTTAACTATAAATCAGATATTTTTTGCATTAAACCCGTAATCGACGTTTCCATCGATCGACAGCTCGCGTATGCACGCCGGCCAAAGAAGAGGGCTCCTTCAGCAAACTTTTATCCATTTCAACGCCTGCTGGAAATTGGCATCTGGTGCGGCTCACTGCAGAATATTGAATCAGAGAAGGCTTTCACTAGCAGAAGTCGGAGCGAGTAGACGAGATATTTTAGAAATTCATCCGGACCGCGAATCGTAGGAAATTTCGCAAGGAAGATTTGGGCCGGAGCTGTCCGCAGAAAACACAATGAGGCTGAACAGACGCGCACCGCAGTGCTTGAGCTCCGAAAAACGAAGCTGATCTGGTGTGTGCAGCGAGCTAATACTATCCCCGTGTATAAGCACCTAAAAGATGCAAGTTTATGCAAGTTTACGAACATAAGGAAAAAATCTGTACTGAAAATGATTTTTTTAACATGTCTCTCACTCCAATTAGTCGCAGTTTGCTCGTCTACGCCGCAGTGAACGACTCACTAATGTTACGAACGATCTTTTGCGGGATAAACCCAGTGGACCCAAGATGGCAGCGATCAACTAGACGAGGTTTTCTTGTGTGATGTAATTATCGCTGTCATTATATCACCCAACGGCTGGGCATTCAGGGTTATTTGAGGCCAAGCATACAAGTAACTCAGGATGATGATGGAACTCTCAACCTCGGCGATTATTTCTCGGTTCTTTTGCACAGGCAGCAAGAGAACAACGCATAAACTACTCGATTACGTCTACAGAGGTAATCGTATACTAGTAAACAACACTTCAATACATAATAAAAATTTATTTCTGTAAAAAGTTAATGGCCGTGAGAAACAGATATCGCGTGGAAACATTCGTCGCATTTGCGGTCAGTTTCTTCCAAATATTCAAATAGTATGAGCCTATGAAATATTTACCAGAATTTTTTCGAGGTAGCATATCCGCGTATGTAAAAACACTGATGATTACTTTTGACGCTGCATGCACTGAGCCAGGATCAGATGCATTGCTAAACAGGTACAAGATCTAGGACTTAGACTTCCCAAGTCTGGGAATGATGGTCGAATAGTTAACTAAATTATTCAATTGCATTGATGTCACCCTAGACGACTTGTTAAATTAAGGAGATTTATTTACAATGTTTCTCTTTCGAGGAAACTTGATAGATTTATTTGTCAGGTTTTGGACGTGGTGGCTGTAATGGCACGCGTCCTCAATCCGGCGATAACGAAGTATTACAGGAGTTGAAAATAACAAAACGTGGAAAGATTTGGCACGACACATATTATTCCTTTGCCGAATCAGTAAAATCATATAGCGAGTAACCTTACTCTGCTAAAACTTAAAATACCTTTTAGCTAAGTGGAATATATAAATTTAATTAATTTAATATAACGTATAGATGGGAAAATTATCGTGGAACTATCCGCCTAAAAACCACTCTAGGTTTTTTTTATAAAAGCTTTTTCTATTCTCCATCAAGACTGCATCAAAAATGTTTCGTGTGTACGAATAATTTTCTCTTCTTTTTAAAATTTCTTGTCGATCCGGAGCTCCTGTTAAGGCTGTTATTCAGTACTTTTCTTCAGTAAGGATAGAACCTCAGCATCCCAGCAATCCTTTTGTATGCTCTCAATGAAGATTCATCTCATAAAGAAATGTTCCAAATATTTCCTCTCAGGTTGGGTCCTGCATGCGCTCTCTTCATAAATTTGGTCTTGGAAATGTGGCGGCGCTCCATGACGATGATTATTATTTCTCGTCATGACCTGGGGCCATACTTTCAAAACTCGCTAAGTGAACGTAAGTACTTACGCTCTATTTTCTTGCCTATGATTGGTGGATTTTGCTTCAAAGGCCGTCAATGATTGGCTGATGAACTTACGATCACTTAACTTTTTTGAAAGTATAGGCCCTGATTATTATTTTTAAGGAGTCTTTCTATCTTAAAAGACGAGTGCATCAAACGAAGTTTGATTCCGGTCGTTTGGAAATAAGACATATCTTATTTGAAAATGAGATACAATTTATTTGGAAATAAGATATATCTTATTCGAAAATAAGATACAACTTATTTGGAAATAAGATATATCTTATTCGAAAATATGATATGCATATCTAATATGGAAATAAGGTAAATCTTATTTGGAAATAATATATATCTTATTTAGAAATAAGGTCTATCGTACCTGGAAATGCGATATATTTCATTTCTAATAGCACGTCCGCCAAAAATATTCAGTTCCCTCAAAACCGTTGGACGATGTAGAAATAGAAATTAATTCTCGTAAAATTAAGAAAACTCCAAGCATTGAAAACTCGTAGCGAAATGTTGGAGATCTTTACTTGTGTGCTATGTAATTACGCGAGAAGAAATACCGTGCAATGAATGTATAGTTTGGTGAAGATGTCAAGATTTTTGCTATTCTTTATATTGACCAAACACTGACAGAAGAGAGGTTGAAGCAGAACTGAAGTGGCTAAGCGAAAGAAGACAATTTAGGTGAAATTAAGACGAAGCTTAAAGTACAGTAAGTAAATGTAGTAAAGTTGAGCAAGCTGAATGAAAAATATCGTTCAGTGACGAATGAGAAATGTTAACAATTGAGGTCAAAACAGTCACTGAAGTGAAGATATATTAAATTTCGTAGTTTTTCCTACCATAGGACACTTGACTAAGGTAATATTTCATGAATGGTGGGTTAACTCTGAACTGTAAGTCACTTTATTTACCTTTAACTATAAATCAGATATTTTTTGCATTAAACCCGTAATCGACGTTTCCATCGATCGACAGCTCGCGTATGCACGCCGGCCAAAGAAGAGGGCTCCTTCAGCAAACTTTTATCCATTTCAACGCCTGCTGGAAATTGGCATCTGGTGCGGCTCACTGCAGAATATTGAATCAGAGAAGACCTTCACTAGCAGAAGTCGGAGCGAGTAGACGAGATATTTTAGAAATTCATCCGGACCGCGAATCGTAGGAAATTTCGCAAGGAAGATTTGGGCCGGAGCTGTCCGCAGAAAACACAATGAGGCTGAACAGACGCGCACCGCAGTGCTTGAGCTCCGAAAAACGAAGCTGATCTGGTGTGTGCAGCGATATCGATTCTCTCATATGCGGTATTTACGACATTTTTAGCGCATTTTCTCCTTTATGGAAAATGCACTATTGTGCTCTCCATGTTCGTCTGTCCGTCCGTCCGTCCGTCTGTCCGTCCGTGACTTCACGTTTTCGTCGACGAGAAAATGCGCTCTCTGTCACTCACTGCAGTGAGTACTGAGTTATATTTTTTGTTCATTATTATTAGACCTCGTACACTTTCTCGCACAAAAACATACATTTTCCGCGCGCATTACGTAACCAACCAAAGTTTTACGCCGAACTTTCTTCATATCTATAACTTTCTGATTTTCAAATTTGATAATATGACATTATGTATTTCCAATAAGCTAAGAAATCTTTGATAGGCGGCTGTCTCGGACATTTTTCAATATTTTTTTGCGTTTTCTTCCATCATGGGAAATTTCAAAAGCAATATCGTCTCCGTGCTCGGATGGGAAGAGCTTTTGTATACGAGAAATTCCCCGTAACGCAGGAGTATAGGTCATAACAGTTTTTTACTTTGCAAACATAGACTGAATAACGGACTCTATCTGAAGATTTTGCAATAATTTTATGAAAAATTCATGCTAAAAATTCTCTCATCCAACCAGACAACAATTTATTCTGTTGGCCACGTAATAAACGACTACTGTGTGGAACATTCATCACTGCGTAGTGTAAATTTCAAGAGACGTTCTCCTGTATGTGTTAATCCATCCTTGTAACTTTTAAATTATTTTAGAATGTCGGAAGAATCAAATTTACTCTTTCGGTTCTCCTTCCTGGAGATCGGGTGAACTTCGGTGGAAGGTGTCTTTGAAATTAATCAACCTCGCATATTATGTAAACTATTTTAATTAAATAATTTGTCCGAATTTATTAGCGGTCTGTTGCTCCGCGCTGTCTTGCCCAAAGTAAAGGTCATTGATGCAAGCAACTGTCTTCCTGGTATTTCCTGTCTAAATACACCATAGTATTTCTAGCCAGACATTTGTATGTGTGTGCCGAGGTGTCTAGCTTCACGTGCTACGTCTGCCTGCACGAAGCTAAGACCGTTAATACAAGCCACTACTCAGGATTTCATACAGCTCTGGATGTTTTTATTCGATTATAATTGTATTTCTAGCTATAAATTTGTATTTCTGGGCAGCGGTGTCGAGCTTCACGTGCTACGTCTGCCTGCCCGAAGTGAAAGCCATTGCCCTGGATTTCCTACAGCACTGGATCTTTGATTATAATTGTATTTCTAGCTATAAATTTGTATTTCTGGGCAGCGGTGTCGAGCTTCACGTGCTACGTCTGCCTGCCCGAAGTGAAAGCCATTGCCCTGGATTTCCTACAGCACTGGATCTTTGATTATAATTGTATTTCTAGCTATAAATTTGTATTTCTGGGCAGCGGTGTCGAGCTTCACGTGCTACGTCTGCCTGCCCGAAGTGAAAGCCATTGCCCTGGATTTCCTACAGCACTGGATCTTTGATTATAATTGTATTTCTATCAAGAAATTTGTATTTCTGGGCAGAGGTGTCAAGCTTCACGTGCTACGTCTGCCTGCACGAAGTTAAGGCCGTTAATACAAGCCACTACTCAGGATTTCATACAACACTGGATGTCTCTCTTCGATTATAATTGTATTTCTAGCTATAAATTTGTATTTTTGTGCAGCGGTGTCAAGCTTCGCGTGCTACGTCTGCCTGCCCGAAGTAAAAGCCATTGCCCCGGATTTTATACAGCACTGGATCTTTGATTATAATTGTATTTCTGGGCAGCGGTGTCAAGCTTCACGTGCTACGTCTGCCTGCCCGAAGTGAAAGGCCCCAAAGCAAGTCGCGACATCGCGATGTTGTGGCGCGCCAACATCACGCGCACGTGGCCGGTCATCATGGAGCCGCAGATGGGCGAGTGCAGCGAGCTGGCCAACACGGCCAAATTCCTCCTGCAGTGTCCCACTGATGACGAGTACTCGGTTTGCACCAAGATCTCAAACGGTGAATGATCAGTACGGGGTTGTTATTTGCTGTTGCTCACAAATAACTGGTTTGTTTATTTGCATAAGTAAAATGAATACTTTGTGGTAAATATTTATCCCTTTAAAAGATACCTTTCGGTTTTAATTACAATCAATAGAATTTAAAAATCGTATCTTCCAGAATAAAAACATCGAAAGTTTAACTTTTTCTATGTAATTAGTTCCATGAAGTGCACATCCAACAATGTCTAACTGGATTGCTCATTTTGCAACATATAGGAAAACCACGGGTTTGGTTTTAAAACCCCGAAAAACCTCTATACTATGGCTAGAAATACTAAATTTATAATCATGTTATATCATCACAGTCCCCCCACCCTAAACAGACTACTGGTTCGGCCTGACGTGCGGACGTGCGACGCAGGACCACGGCAACGGGGAGTACGACATGGGCAACTACACCCTCTTCAACTGCCCCTCCTCCCTGTGTGTCAGCCCCGCCGCAGCCCCAGCGCCGTCAGCCGTCCCTGTGATGGCCTTCCTTCTCTGGGGAGTCATCAAGTTCACTGCTTTCTTCTAAGATCCTCATTAAATACATAGTAATTAATCAAGGTCAAGGACTACAGAGACTTGATGATGGTCTAGTAGTTGAAGACGGCAGAGACTCTGTCATTAATAAGTAAATGAACAACAAAGTTTACAGTGATCAAAACCTTAAATTTTGTCACATCATAGTTGAAAGCATCGCTTTGTGTCATAAATTTGAAAAATCTATTAGCACATAGAATGCTTAGCGCTTCAAAAACAGGCTATCAGTAATAAGAGTCTGTAATTCAAGCCTGCACTTTTAGAAACGTTCATATGTACAACAGATAAAGAGTTCCTATTCGAATTCGATCCAAATATTTTCTTTTTTTACAACCTAAAGCAACAAAGGTCGGATTTGAAGTAGATGTGTTTTTATGAACTGATATGATGATTGTACGCTGATCTCAAAAAATGAAAATGAAATTAATGGAAGTATCCTCAACAGATGATGTGAGCGCAATCCTCGTACGCTTTTTGTTACAGACAAATGCCACTGTGTTTAAAATTTAAAGTAATCAATCTAGCTATAGAGAATGTACAATGTCGAGTAATCAAAAACTCTGATTCCAATATCAAGATCTCTGAAAATTATCGAATCGTATCATCAAGTCATTATTCAATTTGAGACATTGCGACTTTCAATTCAAGTCTACAGTCAATGAACCTTGTTAATGCAGGGTGGCCCAGTGGTTACAGTTCGGAGTACCAAGATTGGTGCAGAGAGGCGCGGGTTCGATCCCAGCTCTGTGCGCTAGTTTCTGGTCAGAATCGGCGAGGAGGCCGGGCGGTTAAGCACAGCAGAATATATAAGAGCAATGAGTTGAGAGTTCGAGACCGCAACAAGCTGTCAATGTTCTGTAATGTTAAGAATCGGCGACAGGCCAACGGCCTAATAAACGCTGAAACCGCTATATTATAATATATAATGAAGGCGTGGGCTGAGGTTTGGCTTTGAAATAAGTAGAGCTTTGCTGGCGAAAATTGTTCGAGCCCCGATATATATAGTTTTCAAATAGTTCAATTTCATCAAATCTTCTGATTAAAAACTAAAGCAAATCCTGTACAGTCATGACATGAAATTTAAAGACTAAATATAGTTCCTCAATTTACGGCGCGCTTCTGTCGTCATAAACAATTTATATTTGACTATCTTAATAAATTGTTTATTTATTTTTTAAAATCCTACTTACCTGCTGAACTTTAACCTATGATCTTTTAGTGGTCAATCAGTTGGCGTTGACGTTTGGTTCATAAGGCTTCGGGATAATATCAAAGTTACTATAAATAAAATATTGGATATTTTACAGAGGAGACAGAAACAAAATCCAAACCAAAATATTGAAGACGCTTTAATTTGTTTATTTTGAAAGAGTGATTCAACTGTCATTCAAAAGCATATTTGAACGCATCGGTCATTTATTTTCATATTTGTGTACAAAATAAATGAATGGAAAGTTACGGTAATTACGCAAGTTCAGTGAACAGATCGTAGGTGAGTCATTCACGTGCACGAAAATTTTTCTGCAGGAATTTTTTTGATCAATGCAGGCATGATAATAATTTCACTGAAGGCTTCAAACCTCGCAGAATCTAAGTAAAGGACTTGCTGCATATTAATGCAAACGATCAACGCGTAGATGAACTGAAGATAAATGAGGCGATACATCAGATGCCACGGAGCTCGAATCATAATTAACAATGAGTATGATGATTGTAATAGATAACGCGTTCTGACACTATAAAAACGTTCAGTTGTGTTGGGGCATTTCTGTGCATCGCTATTACATTATTCGCCGATCATTGAAGATTGAAGAACAATATGAACTTCTCGCAGGGGTAAACATTCCATTACCTAGAATTTGTCCGAGCTCGGCCCTCGCAGTAATTAACATGATCATTGTCTTGATTATTTACTTAGAATTACTGGAGGCTGTATCTCTGTTTTGAAAAATTAGAATCGTATTCCTTTACATCAATACATGATATAAATAAACTCAAAAAATGGAAGATGACACACTGGAATTTTCATCTATTACCGATCGTGCGTTACTATAAAAAAATTCTATTATCGATCGCGCGTTACAATGTACTGTAAAATATATATAAAAACTACTATAAAACATCTATTCCCGATCGTGCGTGACTATCAAACTCCGTAAAAATTTATGCATAAACGCCTGACAAACGTAAAAATTCATGCATAAACGTCTGACATAAAACATAAGCAATCACTGATTATATTATCATAGGAAGACTGTGTGCCGTACGACCGCCAATGATATGCCTTTAGCATTGCCAGGAAGCCATCCTGAATCTCAGCTTGGAGATCCGTTGTTTGAGCGAACTCGCAGTCAGATCAATGCATGGGTCATACTGTCCAAATGGTGAAACACTTTATTACCTACAACGGAGAGGGGACGTAGCACTGATACGCTCTTTTGCAGGGCAATTCTGTGTCAGAATGATTCACAAAAGCGCAAATAGTGCATCGGTATCTGAACAAAGTCTTCTTCGTTTCTCAGAGAATAGGGCCGAAGCTGGGCAGGCATGTTATGGCACGCGGCCCTCTAGCTGTATTACAACTTTTGCTGCAGGGAATTAGAGTTCGTCTTTGAGCCGCAGAGCATAGCCTAAAATTTTCCTCTATGCAAAATTGGTTTCCAAGCGCAAACAGCCAAGGCGGGAATCATTCCGCAGCGCATTCGAGAGTTGCGCTTGTTTTTAAAACATCACTCAGAGATTTAATAATTATTTTCTGACTCATTGGAACGACCCTTAATTTTTCAGCGCAAAGAGATTCGTGTGCACAGTTCTGAAGGGTTTAATTAACTCACCGTGATAATTAACTGCTCTATGAAAAAGCAAACAAATGAAAATAAGCAAATTATAACAAAAGAATTGAAAATGAAGCAAAAAAATCTTGCACTGTTTAAATTCGCACGCTGAAACCAATCGTTTGTCATTGAAAACTATATCAATTTCAGAAAATAAAATTCATTGCAGGACGTTCATATTCAACTTCAGCACACCTTTACATAAGACGCTCAAGATATCAAGTCAAAATGCTTTTGACTTCCGCTAGCAACGGTCATGAGTTGCCACACAAATCCTTTTACGAGTTGTTTGTATCTGCGACAAAATATTCCAGAGTGAGGCCGGGAATAAAACTGCAGCTGATATTCTTCTATACCTGCATATGTCACTCTTGAGTTCCACACAATAACGGATGCAGCAGCCCTTATTTTACAAGTGTCTGATCTGACGCGAGTGTCAACGCGTCGAGCAAACGTCGCTGTGTGTTAGAGTCTTCCACCACACTTCTTTTCTCGCAATTTTGCGGGAATATTTACAGTAATTCAGCCCGCAGCACTGGAGTCAGATTCGTCTTACCAGTTGAGAAGCCTGTGCCTGCTACAATAATATTATTTTTGATGTATTCGTAAAACATGATTTCTACTACTGGGTCATGGCATTGCAAAGTAAAGATAGGTTAATTTAAATATCGAGCTTATATTTATATATGAAAAATATTAATGTACTATATATCGGTTATATTTCTTAGCATGTTTTAACAGAATTTTTAAGAATATATAATACAAATACTGCATTAATATAGCTGCTTAAAGCACCCTCTCAGCGATGCTTACTCAAACAAAATTAAAATGAGACACACCTTCGTATTATCAGGACTGTTATTATAGTGATGAACGAGTCAATACTAGTGAGTTTTGTTATGTAAATTCTGCCTTCCTGAAATTGAAGATAAGAAGAAATAGTTTACATGACATATTATTAAAAGATATAATTTACATACGAATCGAAGTAAAGACTTTTGAGCTCTGGAGCGCGTCTGTAGCAAGTAATACCGATATCAGTAGAGCGATAAGTGTATTATTTGGAGCCAATCCTCCGTTGTTTCTCAGCGTAACGGTAGAAAATATTCGCCCAATNATAATTTTTCTTTTCAATATTTGAAAATAAAATTAGAAATTCATTGTACATGTGTAACATTCAAGACACTGGATTGTTCAGAAGTGTTGTCTTTGAAAAGTAATTTTTAAACGCATATTATTTTTATCTAAGAATAGCGCTAAGTTCTAAAAAATAAAGGTGCAGTCGTTCCGTCCACAAATTTGCTACGTTCATTAGATGTAAGTTGTCAACAAAGATTGTTTAAATCAATTATATACGAAAAATACCTGAAACGGTCCAGGGTGCATCAAGGACATGAAACCCTTTAATTACAACACTTCTCTTTAACTTCACTTCTTGTTGTTTGTTTGTTTGTCTGCTACAAATCTTATAATCAATATTTAACACACTTCTACTTTTCCAATTGATCTGAAATTTTGCACACCCGCATAAAGTCGGAGATAAAGCATGAATAAATTGACAGAATGAATATTTTTTAAATTAAAAATTTTTTAAATAATACAAAAATGTAAAAAATAATTTATTTCATTATTTAAAAATAATAAAAGAAATTCATTGTACATGTGTAACATCGGCGACACTGGCCTCTTTAGAAGTGTTGTCTTCAAAAAGTAACTTTTAAACGCATTTCATTTTATTTAAGTTTAGGAACTTGTGTGCAAAAGTCATCCGAATTAGAAGAGCTTAACCCAGTCCTAGACGGATTTAATAAACTGTTCCGGATAGTTTCAAGTCAAAAAATATACGTTAGTTTTTAAACTGGTAGGCAGATTTGATTTCTTTTCTATCCTGGAATGGAATTTGCAGTCGCAATCCTAATTGGCATTGTTCCGAAACTTTACATTTGTCATCAATGAACTGCTGCTGAATTTAAACAGTTAAAGAAGACAAAAAAGATTCAATTGTTTCAAGTTTCTACTCCCTAAGCAATGCAGAGTTGATACAATAATAAAGTTTTTTAAAAAACAATCAGCATTTTGATAATTCGAATCCCGTCCGGAGCGATGCTCATCTTCTCTTTCGTATTTCCTGAACTCTTGAGAAATTGAAGCTCATCAAAAGTTTCTCGGTGATCAAATACTTACTCGTGCTCGATCTCAAGATGGCAGGGTACAAGTTTTAGAAATGGTTCAGAAGTTTCCCCGACCGTCCCGTACTTAAACTTCTCTCTCAAGATCTAACGGAAACAATCAGGA